TTTCAAAGATCCCGTATAGTTTCTTTTTTTTTTTTTTTTTAAGATTTATTTATTTATTCGTACAGAACTGGGTACAGGCCAGAGATGTGGAAGGTGAGAGAATTCACCAGAGACAAAGCGGGGTGCAGAACAAGCAGGTCTACGAAGTACACTGCTGAGGGAAGTAGCGGGCAGGTCAGGAGAGATCTGCCTCGCCATGTGGTCTCCTTCTGGGCAGGCGGGGATTGAACTCATGTGGAAGTGGCTTAAGCTTCTTTGTGCTGTGCTTTAATCCACTGCTCCACCAGGGAGAGCCCAGATCCCGTATAGTTTCTTATAGAAAAACAGCCTAACTTTATGAAACTTAGTGAACAAAATTCGGTGGATGTTATACTTGCTTGCCTGTATATATAGTATATAGTTTTAAAAGTGTTTTATTCTGTGTATTGGAGAGGCTGATGTTACAAGGACCTTGTGTATGTCTTGATGTTAGGCTGATATAAGGTGCTGTTGACAACCAGAATCTTTGATACTTAACATTTCCTTTTGGGGTGTACCATACCTTTCTCACTTAGAAGAGATGCTTGACATTGCAGAGCGTGAGCGTGCCAGTCCAGTTCCGAGAGCCTTTGGTTTCACAGGTGCTAGCTGAAAAGTCAGGCTTGATCAGTTAGAGCTTTTGGTCGGGTGGCCACTATGCCTTGGAAGAAATTACTCTGTTTTCTGGACTTATTGTTAGTAGTAAACAACATCTGTTTATCTGAGCCTTCTTGGTTTGTTATCAATTTTTTGTTTTTATTCTTTGTTGTGTTGCAAATCACGACATATCCTTATGTAGGTCTGTCATTATTTATGCTGTTTAAGGCCGTGTGTGTTCTTTTACTGGAGACTCAACTTTTTTTAAAGTCTGGGATGTACTCAGTTATTTTTATTATCTGTCCCATTGTTTATTCCTTGAATTTTTTTCTTTAACGATGTGTGATGTCTAGAGTTCTAATCTCTTTTTTTCCCCTTTACTTATCATATTTGGTTTGATGTAGCATCCATAAACCCTTTTAGCACAGTTTTGAACTCTTCAAAGAATATCCATTGGCTTTGAATGGATTCATTATCCACCTTTGGTGCAATTGCTGTCTGGAATGGGGGAGGTGGTTTATATTTTGAAAGGGCTGTTCCTTCTAGATCTGTAGGTATTCAGGTTCTTTTAGAAAGAGTAGGGAACTGAGAGAATTGTACATGCCTGGTTCAAAAAGTGTAACAGACTAAGGTCAAAGCCTTAGCAGCTAGTGGAGATTCCCCCTACAAAAGGATACTGCTCCATTTGACATTCTTGAGTTGTTTGCCTAAGTAAACCTACTTCTATTACAAAACTCTTTTATTCCTCCTCTATAAATATACCAAGAGGATGATACTTATTGAAATTTAGATTTAACATCTCTGGCCTTTCATGATCTAGTCATTCAATAACAGTCCCCTTGCTGGTGACTTTCTGAACCCATTTTGGTTCCGTGAGCACATTTTTCTCTGCAGATCTGCTCTCTTCCAAAACATTGAAGAGGCTCAGAATCCAGATCTTATACTTGAGTTTCATGAAGTTATTCTTAGCAGTGGGATATATGTATTCTTGCTATCAGTGAATGATGTTCTGCAGTAGAGAATAGAGGACACATATGCGCATCATTCAACCCAGTGACTAAATCTGTTATATGGTCACTAGGCCTCAAGGCTGTCTTAAGCCTGGAGAAAAGATGGTTGCTAGGCTTCCTAAGGTAGGGGAAAGCTACGACTGTCATTGAATTTTCTTAGTTTTGGTGAAACCCAGTTGAGTTTGTAGGGTTTAAATTAAAAAAGTTTCTTAAAAGGACACTTTCCCTGTGTCCACTCATTGACTTGTTTTTTGTCTTCATTATTGTAGGGACAAGCTATGGGGGGTCTGTATCTCCATCTTGGCTCTCCTGCCTCGAGTCCTCAGGTTGATGTTGCAGAGCCTGCGGGTAAACAGAGCAGGACCTGAGGAACTGCTTGTTGTGGGCCAGTTGCTTCGCTTGCTGCTTCAGCACGCACCCCTCAGGACACATATGTTGACTAATGCCATTTTGGTGCAGCAGATCATCAAGAATATCACGGTAAGAGGCATGGAGCAAACACTTTGTACGATTAGTACTAGAAGAGATTCATGGTGAGGCATGGAGGCTGCTTTTGGGAGACTGGAGTTCTTGTGCATTGACTGACACTTAGAACTGAGCCTAATGTGATGATTCTCAGGGTTTCCTTATGCTGTCTACCACCTGGCTGTCCTAACCACGGATGTCTTTGCTCCCAGAGTCAGTAATAAAAGCCTTTACATAGTCAAGCTTATATTAGCAGACAGCTTAGTGGGAAGGAATACAGGCATCAGTGTCAGTCCTGCTGGATTCTGAAACATCTTTTGTTGATAAACTTGGACAGTTTGGCAAGTTTTTTTCCTTCACCGGTTAGTGCCTGTTTTCTTAGTTGTAGAAGTAGGGATAGCAAATTCTAGGTTTTGATGACCATTAACTAAGAACATCCAAGTTTTCAGTGTAGTTGCTACTAAACGTTCAACAATATTCACTATCACTAAGGAAATTACCTAGCTAAAAGTAAGGTTCAGGTCAGTTTCTAATCATTTAGAAATTGGAATAGTTCACTGGCACAGTTAGAAGAAGGAAGTTTGTCAGCTTCATATTTGTCCAATAGTTGGTTAACTGAGTACAGCTCTCAGGTTAGGGTGGCAGACCTGTTGTCTGGAAGACCTGTAGTGTTTTTTGGTTTGGGAGAGTAGAGGCACCGTGTAGGTATATGGAAGTGTATTAATAAGTGTAATACTTCAGAGTAATTTCAGGTGCATGTAACAGTAACACTGCTACTTGTTGTCAGTGTTTTTGTAACTTCAATAGAAAGACAGCAGAATGTTCAGAAATAGCAAGGAAGAAATGTTAAGGATTTAGATTATTCTGAACTTGAATAATCAGCTCACTGATATTCCTTCCAAAAAGGAAGCGATGGGTAGAAATTGTCAGTTGGCACTATAGGATTGTATTCTGTTGATGTTAGTGCAAAGATCATGCAACTCTAGAATGCTAAGTGGATCTGGAGTGTGGGATGTGTGCTGATAAAATGTCCTTAGTCCCTAACATAGGTGGTAGAGAATAGACCAGAGAGGAAACTCGGGACACATGTAATTGGAGATTTCCACAGCTTGTGTATATATTAGTAAGCCCACTTAATTGGTCACTCACTCTTCCAAGATGATTTCCTATGATGATTTATGCATGGGGTTACTGTCACTGAGCCTCAGAGCTCCATTGGTTGTGGGAAATACTGTGAGGTGGCATAGCAGTTGTGCTAGATTCTTGTTTTTCTCTGCAGACACTGAAGAGTGGAGGTGTTCAGGAACAGTGGCTCACAGACTTACATTATTGCTTCAATGTGTACATCACTGGTCATCCCCAGGGGCCCAGCGCGCTGAGTACTGTGTATTGAAGAGGAAGCATGGTACCTCCTGTCTGAAATTGTTTATTTACATCTAATTTTGAAGAGACTGATGTAATGTTTATCATTAAAGCTGAACTTTTAAAGAAGTTGTTTACCACCTTTCCTTTGCGCTGAAGAATATACGACCTGGGAAGAGTTCCCACAACGTGCCAACTGGCTTCCTGGACTAGCAGGAGATACGGGGCAACAGGTGGCAGTGTATCTTGCATTTCATAGGAGATAAAGTATTTACAAAAATACAGTGATCATGTGTACCTTCTGTTTATCATGGTATCATCTTATTTAAACAAGAATTTAGATAAATTTTTAGGATCCCATGTAGGCAAAACTGTTTCAGCCCCAGTTAATTCATAGAGCAACAGAAATCAGTTTTATTTGTGTGCTTGGGAGTGGTTGCCTTACAACGTTCAGTTTCTCACTATGAAGTTCTGTTTGTAGAGGTTTTCTAGCCTCTTATGCATAGAAAAGAATTGAACATAATGCTTTGTAGTTGATCTGGATTTTCCTGTACCTAAATGAGGCTTGATCTGATGTAGGTAACCATACTTCCAAAATAATTTTCTATTCGTGACTTGGGGTTCTTAAACTGTGTACAGTGATCTCTGTGATACCTAGCTCACTGTTTCAGGAGTGGATAGCAGTAATCTTTAAGAAAATAGAAACAGTCCTAGAAATATTTTTCAACTTAATATTTGTCACTGTTTATGCCTCTGGTATATTCTACAATAGCTTCACCCTTAAAAGTGAAAAATCCTAAATATTCGTTGATAGCTAGAAGAATATCTGTAGTTAGCAGTAATCCTTCCTTACAGGAATGGCGTTTTGACAAGTTTGCTCACCTTTGCTGGTTGAACAAAAAGTTCAAGTGGAATGTCAGACCTGAACTGGTATACTGAGGAGTGGTTTAGCTGCACAGCAGAGTGGTGTTTATAGAGCGGCCTTGGCAGCAGCCTTTGGCCTTCAGATACTAACCTGGGGACTGAGGAGTCAACGAGACCTTAAAAGCAAACTGTTGGGTCATGATTCTGGTATTGTTAGAATAAAAGGATGTATTATTGTGATTCTTGTTGTATGAAGATTCCAGAAAAGTAGTGAAATGAAATGAAAGCTGCTGTAAAACAGACTCTAGCCATCTCATTTAGTTTTCTTTGCTGGAGCAAAAAACCAGGTGTGTACCAACTGGCTGGCAGAAACCCTAACCCAGCATACCCTTTAGTGCTTGCTTGTAACGTTGCCTGTAGACATACTCAGACATTAAATTTTCCTTTCTAGCCATACTGATGAGGTGAAGGCAGACAGCAAGGCATTTTTCATATGCATAGTCTACTCTAGTCCTTTCAGCACTGGGTAAGATAATTTACAGAACAGTGCTGTATAAGAGCACAAAGAAAACGTCTGACATTTCCTTTCAGTGGCTACCATTATTTTCAGATTAATAAGACTTCAGACATGGCTATTAAAGTTTTCCCCAGATGTAAAAGGTTATCAGAATTAGAACTCCTCACTGGTTATTCCAGCTCCCCCGTACTCCATCTTCCTCCACAGGCAGCTGAAGTTTTGCTCTGTTTTTTGATTGAGTAGCTGATTGCAGGTTGTAAGAAAAATTCCTGGATCTTCCACCATTCTCAAGGAGGTGTATACACTGCAAACTGCTCACTGGAAAAGAAAATACCAGAAAGAGGTTGAGGTTATTTATTTTAATGCCGAAAGGAAGGGTTCAGTGGTTAAAGGGGCTTTAGATCTTGACTACACTGGGACTCAATACGGCAATGGCCAACTTACTGTAGAGACAGGATGACTTACTAGCTTTGCAGTTTTCTGTCTTAGAGATAATGTAACATCGCTTTTAAGGAAGAACTGGGAGGGGCTGGGACTGGAACTTAAGTCTTCAGTCGACCTGGAGTAACTGGTATGAGACATCTCTAATATGACAATGCAAGCTTACACACGTAAATAGATTAGCAAGTGTAGCACAGGATCAGTTAAAGTTCATTCCAGAATAGGTTAGCTGATGAGTTCTCAGCTCTTCAGGCACAGACATACCAAACTTGATGTGGGTCTGTTTTATATGACACAAACTTAGAGGGTGCCATAGTTGGAAAATATTGGTGACATATTGGACTCTCATTGGCAAGTAGGGTATCCTGAGCCCCTGAGTGGTTTAGAGACTTTGTTGAGGCCCTCCACTCAGTGGTGTCCTTAACTTTCTATGGAGCCAAAGAAGCATACATGAAAGGTGAGTAAATTTAAAAATTTTTAAAACTTGTTTTATTATTGTTAGCAGTTCACTTTTAAATAACTAGTGAAGCCCTGTTTGGAACTCTAGCATATTTTTGCTACCTTTATAGGACCGAATCTTAGGCAGGGGAGGGTTACCATTACTATCAGTCACCTAAGCCACAGTTACTCCATTTATTGGAGTGGATGTTTTATTTTATTTTATTTTTTTTAAAGATTTATTTATTTGTACATACAGAACTGGGGTACAGGCCAGAGGCTCAGGGGCGGTGAGAGGCTTCACCAGAGGCAGAGTGGGGAGCAGAACAGGCAGATCGACGAAGTACACTGCTGAGGGGAGCAGCGGGCGGGTCAGGAGAGGTCTGCCTCGCCATATGGTCTCCTCCGGGGCAGGCGGGAATTGAACTCATGCGGAAGCAGCTTTAGATTCTCAGTGCAGTGCTTTAACCCACTGCGCCACCAGGGAGGTCCCGGATGTTTTATTTTTTTAAAGATTTTATTTATTTGTGCACACAAGAACTGAGGTATAGGCCAGAGGTGGTGGGATTGAGAGGGTTCACCAAGGACAGAGTGGGGAGCAGCACAGGTGGATTGAAATAACACTGCTGAGGGGAGCTGTAGGCAAGAAGGAGGTCTGCCAAGGAATTGAACTCAAGCTGCAGTGGGTGCGGACATAACATAGTGCTGTGTTTTCATCCATTTGTGCCACTTGGAGGCCCTTGGGATGGCCTTTTTAAAGGGAGTTAGTTTATTTTAAAGTGCTAGAACTGCAAGTTGGGGAGGTTATATATATCTGCTTACTGGTATGCTGCTGTTCTTGGTGGGTAGCTTGAAGGGGCAGCTGTAGAAGACCAGAGAGAAAAGGATGCTTGAGCTGCCTCCCAAGTACGTACACAGAAATAGTTCAAGGAAGCTGTTACATTGCTTATCCAACTCGCTTTCTATCCTCCTTTTAAGAGTTAAAGGCACTCACAACTAAAGCCTTTCCTCAAGTTGGAGATCAGGAGCAGAAATCTACTCAAATATTTGAGGAACTTCAATGTGCTAAACTTTTATCAAAGCTAAATGGAAGAGGGCCTTACTGGGTGGCACACCGGGTTAAAGGCACAGCACTGTGAGGCTGTCTGCGGCCACTGCAGCACAGAGTTCAATCCCCGGCCAGGGAGGTGACCCACATGGAGTGGCAGATCGCTCCTGACCTGTCCGCTGCTCCCCTCAGCAGTGTATTTCAATAGATTTGCCTGTTCTGCTCCCCACTCTGGTGAATCCTCTTCCTCAGCCTACACACCTCTGGCCTGTATCCCAATTCTTGTATGCATAAACGAGTAAACCTTAAAAAAAAAAAGTGAATGAACAATGAACAAAATCAGGTCAATAGCCCCATGGAATTACAGCAAAAAGTGAATACTTAGAAAACCAAAGAAATTAATGTTCACAACTTTTTAGTTTTGTTTGGCCACTATTCTATATTGCAGAAACTGTCCAAGTTGTATCTATCAGGATTTACTGCATTTGGAGACATGTTTTCTGTATGTGGTCTACAGCTAAACTATAGCTCAGTTAATAAAACTATCAGTCTTGCTCATTCTTGTGAGTGGTAAAATCTTGTGTTGCCCCAGCTTTTGGGTTCTTTAGCCCTTGTCCATTTTCAAGCAGTCAATGTAGGGCAAGCGGTTTTGCTCAGATGAAATTCTTAAGAAGTCATTAAATATTTCTTTGCATTTGTTTATCTTTAGTGCTTTAAGACTTTTCTGCTTATAAACACCTTTACTTTTAAGGATTTCTGATAGTTCTGGATTTTTCTATTAAGACATGCAGCATTTGCTAAGTTATACTTGGTTACCTAAATGCCATTTTCTTGGCAGTTACATCTGACCTGTTTTTGAAACTGTTCAATTCATCCAAATATAATGAGCCTTGATTCCTTTGAAAGCCCCTAACTACCCCACCCACCATCCCTGATCAGCCTGCCTATATTACACAAGTTGCCCAACTTTTATTAAAAGATTTGGCAGTAATTACTCAGTCCCCACCTTCAGGTTTTACCCCCATCAAAAACTAGATGAAGTTAAAGTTCATGCTGACAGTCCTTGTTCACCTTCCCAGCTGCACTCTGCTCCTGCAGCATGGCTGGCTCAGAAAGGGGGGGGGGGAGTGTGTTGCCATAGCCACCTACGAGCAACACTGGACTTGGCATTAACTGTTGACAGCACTGAACTTATCACCCAAATTTAATGCTGGCTTGAATGAAGGGGCTTTGAGTAAAATATTCTTGAATTGCAGCAGAAAATAAAGTTCCTTAAGCTGCTCCTGCTCAAGTGAAAGCATCCCCAGTTGAGCCTTTGCACACTGTCAGATAGTAAATCCCTTCCTTACGGGTCCTAAAAGGTGAAAGTCAGATGTGCTGGTAAATAAAGGGACTTCTTGCCATCTTTGGAAAGCAGGTGGGGGATATTAATGTAAACCCACAATGGGACAAGAACTGTCATCTTAAGGATGATAGTATTTTCATTTCCCCTTCAGGTGAACTAGTAAGTAAAGGTGATCAAAATAGCTATGTTTATTGTTTCTGTTGAGAGTGATGTTAATAGCTTTTGCTGTGAAAATAATTTGCCTCTTAAGAGACAGATGTTGGCTGTACAAATAATGTCATGATGGGATAGGCACATGCCTAAAATCAAGTAATCCCTTGGTTTCCCTGTCCATCTCTGTTCTGATGTCTTCAACCTTTGGGGATAAAAAAAGAATCTGCTTCCCCTGACTACCTTGCCATCTGCTTTGCTGGGCAGTGGCAGCTTACCTGAACTGAGATGCAGCACAGAGTGGGTTTTTGAAGATCTTGTGGGATGGACTTTTCCTTCATGAGAACCTGAAATCAACCAACAATAATCAGTTATCTGACCAATGACAGCTATGGCCTGACCAAGTTCTGAATTCCTTATTAAGGTAGAGGTTTATCTTGGGTGTCTGCCAAGATACATTAGCTACAGTGTTGAAATACCATGTAGGTATTTCAAGTCCTCAGATTTGGCTGCCTCGGCTGCAGATTTCTTTCTAGAGAAAATTTTGCTCATTTTTTTTTTCCTGTTGGGAAACTACAAGGCCCATTCTCTGATGAGTTAATTTGGATAGGCTCTTTGCAGAGCTGACAATGTTCTAATTTATAGTAGCTCAACTCATAAGTTAGTATTACCTGTACTGCTTGGGTCTGGGGCATAGCTGTAGCTGGTAGGAAAGGTCAAAGTGGGAGAGGCAAACAGGCTGCTTTTATTTTGGAGTTCCTAAGTGGGTACAAGGAAGACTTAAGCAGGCACCTGGTAAGACTTTCAGTTACTAAGTCCAGCAAAGAACCTCTTGGCTGGAAGATTCTGGGTTGAGAAGCCAGAATCATCTGACTAGAATTCATCTGACCTAGAAATACTGGTAAGGATGGCATTAAGTGTGGTGCTGAGAATTCTCTTGGTACTTGTATGTAGAGTAAGAAGCTTCACTGGGGATGCTTAAATACCACAAAGTGCCCGGAATGACAGTTACCATAGATCTGCTTCAGCACTGCATGCCTCTTAGACTTTGTGCCTGAATTGCTCTTGGATGAACCCTTGATGGTCCTGCTAACAGCAATGGTCTTCGGGGGTTTTAGTTCCAGTTCCTTCTTCCAAGCCTGGAGGAGCAATGCCATGCACTTTTGGTTACATCTGTCCACATCTCTGGCTCCAAGTTGTTTCATCTGCACCAGGTGGGATAGATGCTTTCTGAGTTGGAAGCTGGTGGGGTCAGAGGAGGGAGGAGGCTTTAAAATAATAGTTTTGAGAAAACCAAAATGTATTTTTTCTTAGAAGCTATGAGGATAATACTTGCTGAAGTGAGAGATTCATTTGAACTCCCTAATTGCAGTAACAGTATACTGAATGGTGACTTTTTTCCAACATCAAATAGAAATAGAAATCAAATAAATTCTTGCCCTCAAGGTAGGCCAGTGTGTAAACATGTGCATATAGTTCTTGTGAGAGCCAAGGAGCTAGAAAGCAAAATATACATGTGGAAATCATCATTGTGTTTTATTTAGTAAAGCTTTACAACTTTGATAATTGTGTTGGGTTTTTTAAAGATTTATTTATGCATATAGAAATGGGGTTCAGATCAGAGGTACAGGGGTGGTGAGAGGATTCACCAGAGACAGTGGGGAGCAGAACAGGCAAATCTGCTGAGGGGAGTAGCGGGTGAGACAGAAGAGGTCTGCTGAGCTATGTGGGTCATCTCCCTGGTTGGGGATTGAACTTGTGCTGATGGGGCTGCAGCTAGCTTTAAAGCTACACTTTAACCTGCTGTGCTACCAGGGAGGGCCTGTGCTGGGTTTTAAAGAATGGTAGGAACTTAACAGGCAGAGAAGTGCATTCTGGCAGAATTGGCATGAGCAGAAGTGTGGGCATCTGCAGAAAGTAATGAGTTGTATAAGAGTTGTGTATTTGATGAGAGAAAAGGATGTATTAACTGTGGAGGGAGCCAACGTTTTTCAGAGTCTGCTATATAAGGTTCTTCCCTGGTGTTTTAAGCCTAAAAATAGATCAGAGGTAAATATGAGTCTGATAAAGGCTGAATAGAGTTGACACCATCAGATAGTGATAATGGACAGGGGATGATAGCAAAATTAGGAATGACCTAACTATTCATGGACATGACAACCTCTGAGAAAATCCTAGAACTCAGGGTAAGACTACAGAACAAAGCTAAAAGAAACCATTTTAGAAGAGTGAGAGTAACAGCTACCTGCTGACCATATCACCACCCCTGTAGCGCACCTCCCACCCCCTTCCCAGGTCAGTATATGTTTACAGAGTCTAAGGTTTCTTCACTGAAAAAAAGCCCGGGTGAACAGCCAGCTCCCCTAGTGTTTGGGTCACTGCTCGGAAGCTTATTCTGGTCTTTCCTCCCAGGTACTGCAGGGGGATCTGTGGGTCTTGACCACTGGGGCTCATTGTAAAGGAGGAGCAAGTAGGGGGCTGAGCAAGAGGCAGATTTTAGTGGTTGAGTTTCTACCCAGAATGCCCAACGAGTAGTCCCAGCTAACAGCTTTGCTCATTTGCAGAAATTCAGGAAATTCAGCACGGTGCATGTCTGCCAGATGGGTTCTCAGATGCAGAGCCTTGCTGACCCTAGAGCCTGGTCTCCTGCTCAGGCAGGGGAGTTAAGTTGTGGCCTGAACCACTGCTAATTCCTGACTCTGGCTGACCAGTGAGACCTAGTAGCACTCAAAGAGAACACAGTAGGCAGAAATAATTGTCTATAGAGCAAAGGAAAAACGAGAAATGGGTGGCTTGAGTTAATACAAATAAGTCTCACTGGCTTTGGAGCTGGTTCTTCTGCTCCATCTGGGCAATAAATGTCAGTCCATAATCCCATCGTGACATTGCTGAATGCAGCCTTCAGCTTGGTAGGCCACAGAACCCAAACTCTATAGTCAGAGGACAGCCCTTCCTGCAGTGACATTTTACGCCATGGCTTTCCCTGTCTGTTGAGCAAAATCAGTGGTGGGTCAGTGCAGAGTCTTGCCTGCTTTAGGTCTCCAAATGGTGAACTATTTAAGTCTTGGGGCCCATCCTGCTGCCCTGTTAGGGCAGGTGAGCTAATGAGAGCCCCACCTACTGCTGAGTATAGTACAGTCCTAATCATCTAGACAGCCTAACCAGAGAACCTGGACAACTGCAAGGGCAATCCTTCAGCCTCATGTGGGCAGAGAATCAAACCAGCAGTCCTATTTAGCTGTTTTTCTATCCTCTGACCTCAGAGCTCTAAAAAGGCCTTGCTCCAAAAGAGCCCCTGCTAGCAAGCTTCACTTGCCCAAGAACATTATCAGCAGAAACAAACTCAAACTGAGCTCACTGAAGAACCATCTTGAAGTCTAGAACAGGAATCTGCTTACTCAAGTGTGAGATGCCAATGTAAGGAGTCAAGGATCAAGAGTTCAGGTGATTATGACACAATAATTTAACTTTCAATAACTGATCTTACGGAGATTCATCAATTGCCTGGCAAAGAATTCAGTAACGATCTTCTTAAAGAGGTTCAATGAACTACAAGATCCCCAAACTAGACATAATTAGGAAAGCAACACGAACAAAGTAAGTTCTATGAAGAAATAGAAACCTACCCTCCACCCGCATCCTGTAACTGAAAAATATATAGTCACTGACCTGAAAATTTGAATAGAGAGCTTCAAAATCAGACTCGACTATGCAGAGGAAAGAACCACTCGCCTGGAAGACAGGACGTTTGTAAACATTACAGTGTTGTAAACCAACGTGACCCAATAAAATACAATTGAGGGCCCTCCCTGGTGGTGCAGCGGGTTAAAGCACAGCACTGAGAATCTAAAGCCGCTTCTGCATGAGTTCAATTCCCGCCTGCCCCGGAGGTGACCACATGGCGTGGCAGACCTCTCCTGACCTGCCCGCTGCTCCCCTCAGCAGTGTGCTTCCTCAATCTGCCTGTTCTGCTCCCCACTCTGTCCTTGGTGAATCCTATCACCCTCCACATCTCTGGCCTATACCCCAATTCTGTATGAATAAATAAATATTTAAAAAAAAATACAATTGAAAGAAGATACCCAGTCAGATGAGCAAAATGAAAAAAAATGAGAGTGACATAGGAGACAATCAAAAGGAACAATACCTTATAGAGATTCTAGAGAAAGAGCCAACATAGTATATTTAAAGGAATAATGACTGAAAACATTCCAAACCTAGAGAGAGAAGTGGACATCCAGATCAATGAGGCTGAACTCAATGTACTGAATTAAAATAGGGCTACACTGAAACGCATTAATATCAAATATCGAAGACAAATTTGAAAGCAGTAAGAGAAAACAAGTCACATACAAGGCAACTCCCAACAGAAACTACAAGTTAGGAAAAAGTGGAATGTTAGGTTGAAAACATTGAAAAAAACCTGTCCACCAAAAATTCTATGTTTGGCAAATCTGTCTTTCAGAAGTTAAGATACTTTCCAGGACAAACAAAGAGAATTCATTACTAAACATGTCTTATAAAAAATGCTAAAGGGGGCCCCCCCTGGTAGCACAGCAGGTTAAAGCACGGCACTGGCACGGCTGCTGTGGTGCTAGTTTGATCCCCCACCAGGGAGGTGATCTGCGCAGCAGACCTCTCTCCTGTCTTGCCCACTGTTCCCCTCAGCAGTGTACGTTGTCAATCTGCCTGTTCTGCTCCCTACTCGGACTCTGATGAACCCTCTTACTGCCCCTGTACCTCTGGCCTATACCCTAGTTCTGTATAAATAT